ATATGTCAAAGATGTGATCAGAGACCTTGCTCCTCTCCTCTTAGTAATCTTCAAAGACCTTTTATAATGTTAAGCCTTAATAGGGTATAGAAAAATGTTAGTGACCCATGTGGCTCCTGCGACTGCTCCAGACCCATCTTCGTTTCTCCCACCCACTGCCATCCCCACCTCTAAACTCCACACTGAACTACTGTAGCTCTCCAAATGACACTGGGTCACTCTCAGGCTTCCATCACATTGCGTCCTTTCCCTAGACTACTTTTTACCCCACCACTGCTTGCTTAAGTTCATTATTCCTTTAAAACTCCATTCAGGTGTCACTTCAGCCATAAACTCTTTGCTTACAACCCTTCCATCCCCAGCTGGCCCAAACTGTCCCATATTCCCCTATTACACTATCTAGATCCCTCTTACAGCACTGATCACACTACATTTAGAAACAAGATCAGTCCCTCCCACTAGATCCTTATTTACTTAAGGGCAATGATGACATCATTTTTATATTTTTTCACAGTGCCTGACACATAGAAGATGCTCAATAAATTTAGTATTTTAAGTTAGTATATAGTACTATGTCATAAATCATGCCTATAGTTACAACTTTGAGACTCTGGAACTTTCGAGAGACATGACAGATTCAACTTAAGATAAAATCATCTACATATCTTTTTTCCATCACCCCAACAGAATTTTAAAAGAATTTTTACATCTGAAAACTTTAAGTACCCAAAGATAAATCTAGAAAAACACTAATAAATTATTGAATTCACCAGTTTTAAAATGCCTTTAATAGTCTTAACATATTTCCTAAGACCTTTAATAAAATTAGGAAAACAGGCTTTATAAGACAACTTATGCATATATGACCTACTCTCCAAAGGCACCGTTTTTTAAAATAATAGTATCAGTGTCATCATACATATGCACATTTAAAACAGAAAGAAAAGCATATTATGAAACAAAACACACAATGTTTTCCATATAAAGTTTTTCTGTGGCTTGTCTATGGGTGGTGGGATAATATGTTATTTTAGTAGTTTTTCTTGTGGTTTTTCTCTTTTATGTAAATGTTCTACAATTCGCATGTTTTGTTTTTAGAAGCAAAAAACATACTAAAAAAATTATTAGGATAAATCACCTAAAATCAGGCACAAGGCACTGTATCAAATGCACTGCATGCTTTATCTCATTTTAAATCTCACTATGGAAAGGTACTACTAATTTTCCTATCTTATATAAAGGAACTGAGGCCCAGAGGGGTTAGATAATTTGTCCAATGTTACATGCCAGAACTTATTCCAGGTCTTCTCAGGGTTTATTATCACCTAAAACTAAATAAAACACATTCAGTAAATGTTAAATCTAGAGTTAGCATTATACTAGAATTGTACCTGACACTACTACTGTACTAGCTACATATGACCATTCAAATTTTATTTATTAAAGTGAAATAAAATTTAAAATTCAGTTCCTCAGTCACACTAGCTACATTCAAGCGCTCAACAGCTGTGGGTACATGGCTACACAGTTGTGGCTGATGGCTACCATATCAAAAAGCTTAGTTACAGAACATTTCCATCATCACAAAAGGATAATGCCATATATGAATAATGGCTGTGAATGCTACACTAGAAATCATGACTCCATGGCAGGAGTCCATGGAGGTGACAATGCAGCTGAAAGGGTAGGAAGAGAGCAGGGAAGGGAGAATGCCTTTGGCCTCATCCTAAATACCTTGCATTTCCATTTAGATCTTTCACTTGTTTTAAAGATTGGGCTTCTGCATACAATTTCATTTGATGGTTAAGAGGTAGGAAAAATAAAAATTTGAACCCCAATGATTAAGATAAGTGAGCTCTGAAGAAACAAGAAAATAAGACATGCTCAGTCTAGGTAAACATTGGGGTAACTTCTCTAATGAGAACAAGGCCAGGGGCTCAGTCCTGGAATGAGCCAGTCAGCAGCCAGGCCAGCAGCTGGTCGGCAATCAGAGATGACAGCTTAAAGCATGACTTCATACCTTGAAGAGTATGAACTTGGGTTAAGATCTGGGCAAAAGAATGAGGTAAATCCATACTAATCTATTACTATTTCTAGAAAAATAACTTCAAAAATGTTTGAGTCATCTCCGAATAATAGGAATTTTCCTTCCCTTCTTCTATAGCACTTATCAGCTAGCTCTTGAAATATCTATCTTGTTTCTCAATGTTTCCCAACCACAATATTAGCTTTATGAAAGCAGAAATTTCTGTTTCATTAACTTCGGCTTCCACAGCATTTAGAAGAGTACCTGAAATAGCAGGTATTTGATAAAGATTTGTTGAAGAATAAATGAAAAAAGCAAGGAAGAAAGCAAAGCTAGTTTCTGATAAAACAGCCAAAGATATATTGGTAACTCTATAGTTATTATCTATCTAAGAGGAAGTCAAAGGATGAGTCCCACAGACAGGATAAATGCTGAAAGAACACACACACTTACGTGGAGATAGAAATGCTAAAAAGTAGAAGCAGGAACTCAACTAAACCAATTTTCTCCTTTTTGATAAAGATAACCTGCAGACCACCAAGAGGAAGCACTATAAACATAAACAAGTCCCCAAATGGTAGTTCTAGCTAGAAAAATCGATTACAAATTTCATAAAGTTTGGAAAGGACAGCTTATCATATGAATATTGGTGAACTCCAAACATTACTTGTATGTATAAGTTCCTTAGAAATATCATCTCTTCCACAGTGGTTATCACCTTTACTCCAAGTGATTCCTGCTTCTGAGTCACTTGGTGGCTCTTGCAAGCCATCAGTGGATATCAAAAGGCCTGGGGTCTAATTACTCCACTTTGACCAACATAGTTCCATGTTCATCTGCTTTATGCACTGGTGTTCTGTTTAAGATTTCCTTTGAAAGACAGGGGTCTCCTGTTTAAGAAAGAAAAGTTTAAAAGCCCTGGCGCAGGCAATCAACAAATGTTCACTGAATGACTGTGATAAAAATTCTAAAGGAAAACCGAATCACCCAATATACCGAAAGGTAACTCCTGCTTGTATAAAGAACAGAGAAAGACCCAGGCACCACCAAGGGCCCATAAATTGCATATAAGCATCTATGTATCACCTTGATGCTAAATGGCAGACTATTCCAGAAGATTTTAAAAAATCTTTAAGGATATACACCAATTACAATTTTTAAGTACAGACTATTTTTACTCCAATAATATCTGCCAATGATAAAGAAGGCTATAGGGAAGGTTGAGAGAGCTGCTGCAGAAAAAATGATAGTGTACACATCCACTGCATTCAGTTATGATCATCCAGATAAGAGTCAGTAAATCAAGACAGAAAAGTATGAAAGCACACAGGGTATGGTACCTGTGGCTAAATCACAGACAAAGAAATAGCATGAGCCTCAAATAAATACTGAATTGATTTGAATGTACTCTTAAAAAAACTAACCAGTACTGTTAGTTTAGATTTCACATTACAGGCAATGGGAAAATACTGAGAGTTTTTAGGCAGCTGAATGATATGCTCATTTCTATATTTTGGATATATATGGAACAGGGAACAAATAGAGTAAAAAAGGGAAGAAGGCAGGAGTACTGGATAGCAACAGCCTAGGCAAGAAATAATGCGGGCATCCAGTACGAAAGTGGCTCTAAGATGGGAGAAAAGGAGAGAGATTCAGGATACATTTTCAAATTATATGTCAAATTCACAGAGCATGGTAACAAAATAAGACAAATTGAGTAAGCAAGACTCTAGAAGTGCATGGTGACATCAAAAAGCAAAACCAAAAGACAGCAGGAAGAATCGTTTTGGAAAAGGGCAGGATAAACTCAGTTAAATTGCAGTGACTTAAGAGGTGTCCCTGCCACACTCTGGTGTTTATACATAAAACATCCTGAATATCTTCTCTTGCACATGCCACCACCAAATTATTCTTCCTCTTAAATGTGCTTCTCCATTCCCATCACCACCCTGATACATCATCATCTTTCACTCGGACTTTTTCAGGAGATAGTCTTCAATCCACTAACCTCACACGGCAATCTGTTTAGCATACAACAGATAGAATAATCTTGTCAAACACAAATGTATTCGCTCATTTAAAATGCAGCATTTATTCAAAAATATCTGAGCCATCTACAAAGTGCATATTACTATTTTAGACACTAGGACAAGATACCAAACACAAAAGAAAATCACTGCCCTCAAAAACTGTACATCCTAATGATTAGACCAAGTTACTCCCGTATTTAAAGAGCTTCAACGGTTTACCATTACTTCATAGGATAAAATTCAAAACCCTTTAAATGACCTACAACTAGACAGACTTAGTTGCTGCTTACTTCTCCTACCTCATCTCACATTTCATTGGTTTAATCAGTTGCAAGCTTCATCTCGCCTCAGGGCCTTTCACTCAGCCTGGAAAACCCATGCTAGCTCAAATTCACGTACTCCAGGAAGGTGTCCTCGATCCTTCCCCAAACCCCCTGTTCTATAAGTTCTATTATACCATCTAGTTGTTCTTTATAGGTCTTACTGAAACTGTTATAAATAATTGTATAATTATTGGTTTGTCTAACACCCCCTATTGGACAGCAAAATGCTCCATAATAGCAGGAAGTATATCATATAATATCATCAAATTACATCGTATCAACTCAGACCCAGAATTAGCACACTGCCAAGAACCTAGTACAAGTAAACAGTGGATAAATGATTTTTTTAGTTCAAAATACATATCTGGACATACAAAGTAATTGTATTCCTATTCCCCTTAAATGGAATTTCAAATTTTCTTCAGTGGTAAAAATAATAAACTAATGGTGATCATAATAAAACCGCTCTCTTATTTATACTTCTTTCCCACTGCAGTGGGAGGACACCATTCCACCCAAATCACCCCGGCAAAGGTACAAACACATCTGTGGTTAATCCAGAAGATATCATTCAATCTTTATCTCTCTTAGCTCTCAGCACCATTTGATCTGTTCACTCACTTCTTACTCCTTTTCTCTTGTGGTATCATTCTTGTAGTTGTTGCTAGAAGTATCAGTGAATTCTCTTGGACCCTGGCCTCTCCTCTCCAACAGGGCCTCACTTCCTACTCTTCTGAACTGGCTTCAACCCTTCCAGCTTTGGTGCAGGCCTTCTCATTTCATGCAACAAATTCTGCCAGTGCTCTATATCTTCAAGGGAAGGACTCTCTCCTAAGAACCAGACAAGTTATCAAACTATTTGCTCAACAGCTCTACCCAGATATCCCGCTGACAGCTGTATTTAGAACCAAATCTAACATCCTCCTTGGGAAATCTGTGTCTCCTCCTATATTTCAATCTCTAGGATAACATCACTTTCCACCCAACTGATAAAGCCCAAAGCACCACAATCCTCCTAAGACTCCTCCCTCTTCACCATCCTCCTTCAATGTTCAATCCATTCCCATTTCTTAGTATACCTTTAGGATCTACCCTCAGTCTACCTCTGGCCTGGGCTTCAGAATCTACAGAGCCCCTAAAAGATTATCTCTACCACCAGTCCCTCTCTGCTCAAATCCTCTCCTCTTTGCTTCCAGAGAAATATTTCTAAAATATGAATCTGACAAAATCTTCTTATAATCCTTCTACAATATACAATCTACTTAAAATCCTACAATTACAAAGTTAGGATAAAGGATGAAGGGCCTTACCCTTTCAACTCTGTATCTCCGGTGTCCAAACACAGTTCTTATACACAGTAGGTCCTAAAATAGTTTGTTGTACTAACTAAACCATTTTAAAAAAAATAAATTATCAAGATGTCTATTTAGTACATACTACTCCTATTTAGCATATACTATAATCATAAAATATAATGCAATCCCAACCAAAATACCAACAGAATTTTTCCAGAATTTTATACATTTTAAGTTAATTTGAAATAAAATGAAAATAGAAAAACTTTGAAAATAAAGTAGAATGATAATATTTAGCCTAACATTTATTGAAGTGCACCATAAAACTATAATAATTTCAACAAATTGCTACTAATACAGAAATAGCCAATATAACATAATAAAAATTAAAAGCAAAAAAATACAAAGCTCAGAAATGAGTATACATTTATCTAAGAATTTAGTATATGGTAAAAATGACTTCCAATATTAGTGAGAAATAGATAAAGTATTTTAATGAAAACTTTAGGATCTACTAGACAACAAGTAAGAAAATAAAGTAAAATAAATAAATAAAGTATATCTCATACCATATATATAAAATAATTCATTTTCATATGAAAACTCTAATATAAAAATGAAAACATAACTAAACATATAGGTACATATTTATTTAATCTTAGGATTAGAAAAGAGATTCTGACCTTGATATAAGAAATGCAGAATCAATAATAGTAGTTAATATATTTGAGTACAGCAAAAAATATGATAAAGTAAAAGGCAAGTGACACCCAGGAAACAAAATATTCATTATGTGACAATAATGGATTTATGTGCTTTTAAAGAGCTCCATCAAATCAATAAATAACAGTTGAAAAGCACACCAAAAGTTGTAAAAGAGTAGAAACAGGAAATGTACAAAAGAAATATAAACAACCTATATAATCCCATGGGAGAAAATGTTTAACCTTTTGCTTGGTTTTAATATTGTATTTAAAGATTCTAAGATCCTTATATTTTCTCCTTATAACTCTTTAAAACTAGGATGACTACTACAAAACTGCTGATGGCTGGAAATAAAGAGAAAAAGTATGAACCCCTAATCCTAAGTTTATTACAGGCCATTACAAAATTTAAAGAAATTGCAGTGTCACACTGCAGGTGCCATCAGAAAGGAGATTCAGGAGTAATAAAAGGAAATAGCCTTGTAGATGCCACTGAAAAAAAAGAGCAGCTCTAAACAAAACAAGGCTCTCCTTCCCAACTTGACTTTAAATCAGTGCATTCCTGTGTACAGCAAAAAAAAAAAAAAAAAAAAAAAAAAAGATCTGAAAATTGGTCAGGAATGGGCTTTAAAGAAATCCCTACATCTCAGGAGTGGTTGATAAATGAACGCAAAAAGCTATCTGTTCCTCAAGGGCTAGCGTGGAAAATAGTAAAAGCCCATAATTCCATATGTTATGAAATGGAAGTACTATATGAATGGTTAGTTCAGATACCAATGATGCCGGACATGGGAAGAGTCATTAATAGCATCATAGCTAGCTGTGTGAAATGCACACAGAATAATGCATATACTAGACTTTCGATACCACCTTTAAATCAAGCAGTTCAGGCCCAGGGAAAGTTGCCTGGAGAAGACTGACAGGTAGACTTTAGAGTAATGTCCCTGCTCCAGAAGGATTCAAATATTTATAAGGATTAGTAGATACTTTTACTGAAGGGGTTGAAGCATTCCTGTGTCAAACTATAAGAAGCAATGAACTTGTAAAGGCACTACTGAAGGAAATAATACCTAGGTTTGGACTCTCCAGGATCTTTCAACATGTAATTAACCAAACACTGGATATAAGCAATGACTAAGCCTACCTTCAGGGAGACAGAACTATGGATGTGAATCTCTCATCTCCTTGTTGAAAAAAATAAAACTACCTAACATAACCATGTCTTGTTCTTGAATAGAACACTCCAAGCTGCAAAGCCCTTGAGTCTGGTAACAAAACCATGGAGTCAAAGCACTGTGTCATGCTTAGAGGTAGCACTTTTTTCTTGGTGAGTGATTCAGAAAATAACCATGTGCCTTAATATCAATTTAGGTACAATATAGCATACCTAGATTTTTCTAGGAATGAAACTATGCATAAAAAATAGTAAAGGAAAGAATATGATTTAAAAAAAAAAAAAAAAAAACAAACCTGGAACTCTACCAAGACTGTTCAGCTTTGGATTGAAAGAATAAAAACCTGGGATTCTAGACAAACAAAAGGGGGACAGGGAAGGGTCCAAGAGGTGGGGTTTTCTACAGGGACCTGAAAACCCTTGAACACATCACAAAAGTAGAAAAACTATTTTATAAGTATCTTATTCACAGTTCCTGGCATGAATGTTTATTGAATAAAGGAATGAATGCTATTTTAGTAATAAAGACGTTCACACTAACAGCAGAAAGTAAAAGACCTACAGACCTCCTGGGAGAGAAAAGGCCACAAATATACTAGAGTACCACAAGAGTAAAATCCCCAAATAAACAACCAAATTCTTTATAAAGCATTCAAGGAGCACCATACAACATAACTGAGACTGCTCCACGTAAAGAAGTTTCACTAAAAACCTGTCATCTGGAAGTGTTCCCAAAGACACATTTGGACCGCCTATGAATTATATTAGCAAATTATTTACATATCATGGTATTTGCACACCAACTGAACTTAAGGTATATGTTTAAATGAACATTTCTCTTTAGCTTAATACGGTCAATATATAAGGAAATCAAGACTATAAATTCTATACAGCTATCTGAATTTCCCATCCATCACTCCTTAATAGACTTTGCCTCAATTAATATTTTGCATAATATAATTTTTCATAGAGGCCCATTACCTTATTTAAATTAATAAAGTAATTCAGAGAAGGTGCCCTAATTAATTAATTACTAACAAATATTCCCTAAGGACAGAAGCTCAAGTCCTGTTTACCAAAGAAATAACTGCATGTGTATCTAAGTCCACTTTCACCCTTATCTCAAGATACTTTAAAAATAAGCATACTTTTTAATCTCAGGAAGACCACTGAGGAACCTAGAACTATAAAACTCTGGCTTGCTATAGTTTGAATGACACATTTTTACAATTCACATACCAGCTTAAGTTCTAGGGATAGTCTCAAAGGAACACATAAATAAATTTCAAGTTACTAAGTTCTTAATGTAGCCTCATCTGTAGATACACTTT